AATTTATGGTATGTACAAGTTTCTGTCAAGCACTTAATTAAACAAAAGACGTCGCGGTCGATATCCGCAGTAGTTTATTGATTTTTTTCAGCCTTCACAACAAAATCGTAACAGTGACTCATAATTTGTTTTGACACGTGATACTGTGCTTATCTTCAAGCGAAAGTATTAACCAGCTATCAATTTATTGAGAGTAGATAATAAGAAATTTCCATATTAACATCTAGTCTTAACAGTGGCTTCGATTTATCTTCATTACAATACAGCCCATGTTGGGCGCCAAATGGAAACCATAGAAAAAGCTACTATGAATTCATTTATTTAAAATATTAAATAAACTTTAAGAAAAACAACAGAGACTCGCAATGAAGATACTATAAACTAAAGATTTTAATAAAAAGATTGTCAGAGTGACCCTAAAATACAGACATAGCGGCGCCGAACTAGGTTTCAGCAAACAAATATTGGCATGAGGCCCGCAACCCACTAAGGAGTTTATATGTTATGCAGAATGTAAAAAAATTAAATAATCTCACACACGTAATAACAGTCATTTTCAAATACGCACGAATAAAAAAAAATCGAAATAACAAAATCTTAGAAATTGAATCAGTTTTTGCTCTTAGGGAATATGAATTTATTCATTTTAAGTACGTACGTACCCAAGTACGTAAATATTCCCATTTTGCAAAATATTATTACATGAATTTGTCAATCCAAGACACTTATTAATATTGTTGTTTAGTAAGCATTCTAAAACAAGTGATCTAAAGTATCTTGTTTTATGAATACATCACATAATATGTATGTCCATAGAAAAGGCTAGAACAGAGTAATGGTGACGCGGCAGCTACGTCATTTGGCTTCGGGCCAGACAGTGACAAAATTCAATATGAGCAACGTACGAACGCGAGAGACAAAGATTGCGAGGATGCTTCCAACACAGTTAGGAGCGGACATTACAAATCAGGAATGTTTAAACATAATTGTGCAATGTATGTGTGAGGTCGAATTAGAGTACACGAGAGTTACTGGAATCATTTTAAAACGAAGAAATACATTGTTTTTTACCTTTAAAACACATAAATCACATTGATATAATTATTTTTAATTATTGACTCGTAAGAAAATTTAGTTTTTCTTTTTTAACAAGCGTTTTTATCTTGTATCTTGTTATTAAAATATACGTATTTTTATACTTTTGTTAGCTTTAAGATAGTATTGTTATAAAAAAATCCTGCAAAACAATATATCGCATAAAAATTGTTTCAATTCAATATTCGTTAACCTACAGATCCATATACAAAAGCCGTAGCAATCTACGAATTATATACACACGTTATACATTTAAATCGAATCAAACAATATATGTATGTAGCAAAATTATTTTCCCTTTTTTATATAATCCACACTTGACACCTACAACATCAGATTAATTTTCAATATTTTGTTGTTTATATACACTTTAACATGTTCTAGTTTTAATAAACTATAGAAAAATATATTTTAATAAAAAAGAGCATTTCGTGCAAAACACTGAAAATCCGTCCGAAGGTTTGCAAATATTGATTAACAGCGATTGATTCTCTGGGAGCGGCTGTATGAAAAACAACCATAAATATACAGACATACATACATATGTACACACATACGTATGTATGTATATACAGCTGTATATACTAAAGGTATTGGAGTCATTTCCCCATACCGTACCCAAGTTTAATAGCTCCATAAAATTTAAACATTTCGCTCTCATTACAAATCCCAAATAATTCGAACCTTTAACTCTTTTAACCACGTTAATTTATTAGATTTGATTAGATTAAAAAACTAAATGAAATTCAGTCTAAGTCGCATTACAGAAAAAGCCGCTTTTCATAGAAACCTTACATACATTTGATCAAATGTATTTATATATAATTAAATGTTCACTTTCAAGGCTTCTTGATATAAATGAAATATATCAGACTGGAAAATTGTCTCAGTGTGATTCAAATAATTTTTATTGCTAGTCTCTTATTTCGACCTGACCTGGTTTTTAAAGATACCAATAAAATTGCGTTTAAAATAAAATAACTTAGTCCAAATATGTATTATTTTATTCTTATACCGTTAATATAATGTTAAATAAATTTCTGAAGAAAATGCATACATTTACAGTCGCAGTCTTTGTGAAAGTGCTAAATACATTTATTCGAAGTCCATTTCCGACTAAATCCATTGATATAGATATTGAATTATCGCATTAAAGGATCTCGCCTGCTAATTACATGGCTCCATTATCCCGGTCCATTATTCTAATTAAAATTGTTCTATACAATAATCGTCTTAGTTGCAAACTTAATGGAACTGCAATTTTCTTCAGAATAAAATGTTTCAGACTTTGATGTTTGATGTTTGAGTGAAAACAATAGTTTCTGTTTTATAATTTGAATCTTGATCAACATAATTATTGATATTATTTAGAAATTAGGAATTAATTTCTAATTTCTAATAAAGAAATTAATAAGTCAGATATTTTCTTAATAAAATTATTTTGTTAATTCTTGTAGATAACCCCAAGTGTTATATGTAGTTGAGTTATATGTATGTATTTTTGTTGTAGTGACTAGTTGACTAAATAAATGCAATTTTTATATAGGCTTAATCAAAAAACTAGTACAAAGTAAACGTATATTTAATGTACTACAATTATAAGTTAATAGACGAATATATAATTAAAAGATCGATGTGGAGTGTGGACTTAACAAACTCCATTAATATTGTATACATACTTCAGCTTCATGGAAATTATGGTAAGCTTTAATTTTACTTCTCAAGGTTAATTATATAAGGGATATATTGCTTTTCTGACCAAAATTTATTTTTATTCATTCCTTAATACATATATTATATATACACATATCATTCGAAATTTCATTCATTCTTCATACGTTTTTCCTTCATTCTTTAACCGTAATTAGGTTTAAAATATTTTTTGACCACATTACCCAAGATCTGCTATAATTACGTTTTTCATGAAGCAAGTAACAATGGAGTTACAAAGGCATTTAAGGATCGAAAGATTTATCCAAACCAATTGATATACATACATACATACATATCAAAAATATAACTACCCTTTAATTGCTTCGTCTTATGCAGATATAGATGTCGAAAAAATATTTTGAAATTATTCTTTTGATTAAAATATTTAGATTTATTTTTATATTAATAATAAGATAAATAAGTAAAAAAATTGATTGGTTTTACTATAGGTGTATAAAAAATTAAATTTTGATATCGTTTACTTCCGACAGTACCTACACTACAGTTACGTAGAGACAGTATTAGCAGTACGATATTTAGCTCTGTATTTCGCTCAATAAATATTAAAAGACATAATATTTTTATATTATAATATATTTTGTAAATTATATCAATTATAAACGCTCAAATCCTCAGCGAGTATTATATAGGACTATTGTTTCAATTAATCTATTACTGTAATATTATTTTACGAGTGATACATATTATAAAATTGTTACTAACGTTAGCTGAGCGGTGCTGGCCGGTGAATTTCGTCCGTCATCCCTCCCCAGTACCCCATTAGGATCACTCATGCAACACAATATACACTAACTGTTCACAATAAACACTTATAAATAATAATAACTATAACATTATTGATGTATCAGTAAGTTAATAACGTGATGGGAAATTGTAGCGTTAGGCGTGATCGCTCACTCTCCCATCGGACGCCATCATGCTTTGATGGAGAGTTTCGCGCGCGCGCGAAACTTTTGCTTGTGTTGCCAGTTGTAATACATTACCCTTATATTGTGATGTTATTATGTTGAACAGAATAATCTAAATAACAAATGTTGTTATATATGAATGTTAAGGTTTTGAGGGTTAAATTTACCGTTAAATGTATTTGGAGAGTGTAGAATTGGACTTAAATATATAAAATTTATCATTATATATTTTTTCTATTACAACATCGTAGTAACTAAAGCATACTTGAAAATATAATGATATTTTTATTATGTCCATCATTAATTTTCACTATAAGTGCTTCTTTAAGATTGCGAGGAAAAGAAAATGTTTTGTTAGGAAAAGAAATGTACCTATTAATGATAAAAGTGTGAGGATTAATCCCATAAAATGGTAACCAAAAAATTTATATGGGAAGTATGGTTTTGACAAAGCTTTAAATACGGACTTCAAAAAAAAACTATAGAAATTAACTTAATCAAAGCCAAAGAACTTATCAAAGCTTGTTATGATATAAAGAGACATATAGTATGAATGTCAACGAAATCTTTATTTACAAAATTTCGATATCGTTCGTTTTAATTGGAATTTAAAAGAATTAAAACCCAAAGTACTCTGTAACAATGAAAAATAATCCGTATCTCTCTACATACCCTCTGGACTCGTGACGTAAATCAGAAAAAACAGTCCCGTGAACTTGAATACTTCCGCATTACTAAATCGTGTTTCAATATTAATTAAATAGTATTAATTTTATATTTTTAATTTCATTATAATATGTATATGGGAGATCGGAATAAGTAACTGACAATACTGTCACGCATGCGCCAACTGCAACCACTGCAATACGACGAGTGTGGCGCGCTCCTGCCTCTATTTTTACATTTCTTTGTGAGTTTTCGCTAGCGGCTTGAGATACACACGAAAATAATTCATTATTATATCTAATACTTCTATTCTATAACGTATGCTCACTGTTTCATTCAATATTACCGCTACGTTTTTTTTTTTAATTTGTATTTGAAAATAAAATCTATATAATGAAATATTATAATTCCTTTAAAATTATATGGCTCCAAAATAAGTTTAATGAGTTGTAAAATTTCTGATGTCATAGTAATTTGCAGTAAAAGCTTATAAATATGAGGAATCCGGTGAATGAATTGCATGACTTTTTTTTATAATTTAATGTTCTATGAAAATAAAACATATTAACAGAAATCTAAGTCATCGTCTTTACGAGACTATTCATCGTCTTCCTCATCGTCTTCTTCGTCATCCTCTTCGTTGTCTTCGTCTTCATCGTCTTCATCTTCTCCACTTTCAGACTCATCTTCTTCATCCTCATCTTCTTCTTCCTCATCTTCTTCATCCTCATCTTCTTCATCCTCATCTTCGTCTTCGTCTTCCTCATCCTCCTCTTCTTCTTCTTCAGGGGCAGCAGTGGAAGGTTCAGTTGTTACGTCTTCAGCTGGTTCAGTTGTTAAATCTTCAGGAGCACCAGTTGTTACTTCTTCGGAAGGTTCAGTTGTTAAGTCTTCGGGGGCACCAGTTGTTACTTCTTCGGAAGGTTCAGTTGTTAAATCTTCAGGGGCACCAGTTGTTACGTCTTCGGAAGGTTCAGTTGTCAAATCTTCAGGGGCACCAGTGGTTACATCTTCAGGTTCAACAGTTGTTACGTCTTCGGAAGGTTCAGTTGTTAAATCTTCAGGTTCTCCAGTTGTTACTTCTTCGGTAGTACTGGGTTCAGGTACAGTAGTACTGGGCTCAGGCTCAACGAAATCCCAGTCAAAGTTGATGCCAGTAACTTCACTGAACCAGCTGTGGTAATGTCCAGGGCGGATGAAACCTAAGAATAATTATGATTATCATTAAAAAGGGTGCAATGTCACTTAAGTACAAAGTAAATGACTTTCAACGAAACTTAATATTTTTAATATTCTCAAATTTACATTAAAAATATTATACATATAAATCGACGTAGCCATAAAAGAGAAAATAAAATTATCATTTTAAAGTCACATGCATCTCCTAGAAGGAATATATATTCCTGATGATATTTTAACTCAAATGAGATGAGGTCATTGATTTTTAAAGTTAAACATCTCTGGGAACGTTTCTCAAACGTTAAATCACTTTTTAAGTATTTGAATAAAACTTTTTAAACAAAGCTTTCCAGACTTCAGTAATGTTTTTCTTAACAAAAAATTATATTCCTCAAATTTCTTATTTTCTCTATTTTAAAGGCATGGAAAGAATAAAGTTAAAAAGCTTTAGTTATTCTTACCAGCGGGTAAAGGAGTGTGGCAGCCAGACCTAGAGACGAAGGAAGATACACCGACTTGGGTAAGTTTTCCATCTTCATCAACAACAACCAAAGGACCACCGCTGTCACCCTAGAAACAAAACATTGAAATAAACTCATTTAATTAGCAGACGTAATATTCATGACTTCGTTATCTTTTTTTTATCAATATGACTCCACTTTTTGTGTTTTTTACTCCATAACTCCGACAAATATAAACAGATTTTATATTCTCACTTTTATTGAAAACTACTATGTTATATATAGCTGATGTACTGCATAATTCAAATACGAAAAGGATAATCCCAAAACAATCATAAGGTTGGTTCTTGCATATTAGTTTATAAAACCGTTTTTTTTAGCGAAATCGATTCCAAAGGAAACCATATTGATCTTACAACGCTCAACAAACCAAAGGACCGTACTAAAAATTCTTATACATAGCTAACTCCTAAAACTATAGGAAAAAATTAATTTCAATACCTGGCAAGTGGACTGAGATGACACATTGTATGCGTTTGCGCAGATTGTAGAGTCAACGACGATGTTAGTGAATACAGTGCGGCAGAAGTTGTTGCTAACTCCAAGTAAATAGACCCAGTTCAAGATTTGAGGGGAGACTCCTGAAATAATGTAAATTAACAAGGATCAGAATAAAAGTAAAAAAATGTCTATTGTTTTTAAAAACCATAACACAGCTACAAAAGAATTAATACATAAATTAGGAAGAGCAGACTGGTTGCTAAATTATTAAAAAAAATCGTTTTGTAATAGAAAATAACATAAAAGATGCCGTTTTCTAAATTTATATATACGGGATATATATTAACTGAGAGATACTATTACGCCTATTTATACGTTTGATTAGGTAATTTTTTTAACTTATGGTTAAAAATTTATATATCGCATGAATGAAAAATCTACAATGAGATATAAAGTTAAGATATAACTGTTGGGTTTTACCGAGCACTTTCTGCAATCTTGCATACTTACAAGATACTATGACATTCCAAAAAATAATAACACTGATGGATTAATTAAAAAGATTTTTTATAAGAAATTTTATCACGGACAACATCGGTATTTGCCAATGTAATCACAAACCATTTGAACTGATGTTTTATTTCCACTTAGCTATAAATAAATAAATTTAACTCAAAGTAAAAGCAGTGTTCAAACACAGAGTCACTCCATTTACTTTTAAATTACTTTCCCCGCAAAATCTAATACAGTTTTATTTTATTAATATTACTTCAAAAGTGCATATTCCGATAAGCTAAGCAGTGTTATAATATTAGTTTTGTATCAGGATTTAAAATTCCACTTAACGTAGAAATTGAATGAAAATAGCTCCCGCTTCGAAGGCGTTGTGCAATTTTTCAATAATACATAAATAATTACCGTTAGTCCAAGTTCTGCCCCAGCCGCTAGCTTGAAGCCTGACTTCGCTGTAGTCCTTATTTTTGTCTGCGTCACGTTGGATTCTGATTGGCTGAATGAGCTCTGGGAAATATGAAGTTAGAGAATTGATCAAAAATAGTAATACAACGGTAATACCCTTCTTTGTAACTGTAGAATAAAAAAAAATCAATCATTCTTTTTCTAAATAATTGTTTAAAGTGTTTTAACAGCTACCATACAAAAACTCAAGTTTTATATGATTGTTTACTCACCGTTATATTGGACGTATTTGTTAAGTTTGATCAGACCGATGTCGTTGGGTTGAACGACACCAGCTAGGGACTCGATGTACAAGGGATGGTTGTAGTATTCCGTGGACTCCAATAGGAGAGATGGCCGGGAAAGCTCAACTCCACCCACGCGGATGACGATAGTCACACGGCTAGAAGATATTACATTGTTTTTGAATTATCTTCCATAACGTTAATGTTATTTTTTTCTCACAATAGTCGATAAATGGAAAGAATGTAATGGACAATTGTTTTTTGGTTACTCCAGGGTGAATAAAGTTTATATCTTACCGAGCAGTGCAATGAGCAGCAGTCATGGCCCATTCGTTGTGGATGAGGGTAGCGCCACATCCAAACACACCGCCGCTGGCATCCACCATACGGAGAGATAGTTGGTATGGGATCTGGCCATTAACTGCCTCCCAGCCGGAAACTATCCTCGAAATTCCTCCTGAAATAAAACAAATTTTGTCTATTGAAATGTGACCTTATTTATTGTAAAGTGAATACTATATTTATATAAAAAATCTTAACTTTACTAGAAGTATCTAAAGTTTAAATCAATCATTATAAAACGGATGTTTTTATTGACGATTGTAACTTTATCACAAAAAAATACAATGAAATTTGTCAATAATAAATTATTTCGGAAAAATTAATTCGGAACTTCTTCTCTATCGGGAATACGACATAGCACTTGTATTTTGTAAAAAGTCACGTGTCATAGATGATTACAAAGCTATTCATGTTAGCTCAAACCATTCGTTTTCTCTAAACTCTAGCCTAAAGTCCATTCAGGTGGTTTGAGAATTTCATTATCACAGCAAAGTAAGAAAAAAAGGAAAAATAATATAGTTTGTCGCTCCATATACCATGTCAGGTAATAATATTATTATTGATTCCCTTATCACAAAATTGAACTACAGAAAAACTTTTATTAATATCCGAAATGTATTTTTTTATATCAATTCAATCATTATAATTGTGCTGATAACAAATTAAAGTCAGGAAACAAATAGCCACGGCCGAAACTATCGGAAGTATAACATACGAAGAATTGGATGTATCCCTACTAATATTATAAATGCGAAAGTAATTCTATCTGTCTGTATCTCTGTTACGCTTTCACGTCTAAACCACTAACCTGATTTTAATGAAATTTGGTACAGAGATGGAGTTGACCTTGAGAAAGAATATAGGATAGTTTTTATCCCAGACTTTTGAAAGGTACTCTTGGAAACGCGATATAACCGAACTCCATTTGGGCAAAGCTGCGGGTTGATAGCTATTTAAATAAATAGAAAAAATAATTGATTTGCTTTAATTACCTCGTGCATTTTCGGGGAAGTCAGCGAGTGGCAGACTCGGATAAGCGCCAACCTAAAAAAAAATAAAACATATATTTATGAAATTAATCCAAAAAGTACATTTTTATTCCTATCCAATGACGTAAATGTATTAAGCTCAGAAGATTATAAAAACGTGGTAATCTCTTAATTGAAATCTAAGTATTATCGGCTATCTGCTTCAAGTGAGGATTTGGAATGATAAGGATTTTTGAATCACCTCCTTTTTGTATTGTTATGTAATTAATTATTTTACATATTTTTATACTAATCTGTTAAAATATCCATGTCCCTTCGTGTAATGAAGGATTCAGAATAGATTAATTATATAACTTCAAAATAGTTACGTTCAAAATAATTTGCAAACTCGACTAATGATAAAATAATATTACGCAAAACTGTGTAATAACACAAAGAAAATATGTGGAATGAGGAAGACATAAGAGTAGATAAATAGATCGCTGTTTAAAATCTGAAATGAGTATTGTTTCTATATATAATTAATAAAATATATACATATATTTACTTATCATATTATACAGTTTACGCCAGCTTATAATCTAATCATGGAAATAAAATGATGAGCTTACATTCCCACATATGTTCTATAAAATATGTGATGGTGGTAATAATCTCAAAGTGTGTTTACACCCTTCGCGCTGACGCTTAATAAGCTCTAAAACTGTTTTATTTTATAACAGCTTTATAAAAATTATAAACTAAAATATAATTGGATTTTTTATGGAGTGTTCAAAGAAATTGTAACTAAAATTACGAAAGATTTTTCGTTTAAATCCTTATTTAAGACAACATTTAAAACGTTTAATTTAAAAGTACGAACACAGAAATGTACTTATAACGTACATCTACTATTTATTTTCAATAATTTACTTTTAACAATATGTTATATTATCACAACGTAATAACATTTTAATTTATCTAGACGTCATTTGTCATTGACATAATAATATTAAACAATTAAAATTCAATACATTTCTATGTTCATATCTTCGCATGGTGCATTATTAAATTATTGTATTAAGGAATGTCATCTACTCTCGCAAACACTAATAAAATAAAAAAATAAAAAAGAATTACCCACGACACAGCGAATAAAACGAGGAGAGCACCTAACGCGGCCATTGTCCAAATAACGATTGATTAACATGAAAATACATGTGTATTTAAATCCATATCAATGATAAAATTAATGATAAAATCATGATTAATTGTTTATCGATTAAATTTATCGAGCTGTCAAATGTTCTTTAGCAGTTTTTAAAATATTTCGTATGGTCGCAGATAAATCTAACAAGATGGTATATTTTTAAAACGATCTACACTACATTTTCATCTCGTCTGCCCGAGATCACAGTTGCTGTAAAGTAAACGAAACTTCGTTAGCACGTAGTCTAAAATAATAAAAAAACTCGTAGTAAATCCGAAAATACTAGCTTTATTTCAATATACAGCAGGTAAATCCCAATATACAGGATACAATAATTCTCAAATTCGTTCATATATATCTACGCAAATGCACATTAGATATTAATATTATTCACTCTATAAACCAAAAACATTTGGTTGTAACTTAACATATAACAAATATAATATTATATACATATATACATACTATGTGTCCTTAATTTTCGACGGAACATATTTTAAGAACAAAATCTTGTGAAGATAGGCATTATAAATTATTAACATGTAAATATTTTAATTATTTGGTATATTAACATAAATAAACCCAAAGTAACATAATTTAATCCTCTACTCAAATAGGAAAACTCCAAAGAGGATTAAATTATGTTACTTTATACTCTTATAGGAGTATAAAGTATATAGTATAATTCGTTAGAATCTCCAATAGGAAAATTATTACGCAAAACATGATTAGTGATAAGCAATCGACACGTCACATTTTTCATCCTTGTAATTTTTTTTTATTCAATTAAGTAAGTTGCTTCATTTTCTTGCTTCATTGTTGGTTAAACTCATGTCAGTAATTATTACTGCTTCAAATACAAAGTCAAAATATTAAAATTAATTTAATCACCTTACAAAAGACATACAAGCCTACCTCCCTCTTAATGCAAGTGTTATTTCTGATTAAAAATTTCTATTTTAATAGAGAAAGAAATATTAATATTGAAAAAGCAAGTTTCATTCCTTAATGTATATATAATTGAAAAGAGTGTATGTATTAAAGTATGTTATGAAACGACATGACAAATTACATTTTTATAAGTAATATGTTAATGGTAATTTATTTATTTTGTTTGTCTATCTTACAGTAAGTTATGAAATACATCTAATATTACTAGTTTTTGTTTGTGACTTCAGCCGTTGAAGAGAATAACGAATAGAGTGTTAATACAATTATTATTATGGTTACTGACCGTCAGCTAAAAGTTTTGCTATGTGACCTCAAATTCCGTACAAATGTTAAGACGTGATTTTTCTAGAACTAAATGGAATAAAAGGACAATTTATAGGTTATCTTTTTTTCTGATGGTTAACCGACGTGATTATAAAGTTTCATCAAATTCCGTTTAGTAGCGTTCATGTATAAAAGGAACAAACATGCATACATCCATACATCTATCACTCAACATGCCCTCTCGAACTTCGGAACTTATGATATTTTTTATATCTAGCTTAATCTTAGATCGGTGTTCCCCGGCGATGTTAGCTTTGTTTTTTAATATTTTTTCTTTTACCTAACACACTAAACTAGAAGTCTGAAACGCTATCTATGCATTCTTATTAGTTTAAGGTTATTCTGTTTTTATACTACACCTAGAAGTTTATTACAAAACAACAAATTATTTGTTATAAATTAATCTAAAATTTTATGCCGAACCCGGGGGTTAGAAACTAGTATATGTTTATTATTAGAAGGATATTGTAAATGACCGTGATAAAAAATTATCGTTATTATATTTAATCGTATAATCGTATGTTAAAAGAACTTTATCTTTATCGTTGTAAGGTATGACGTCTATAAGGTATTTAATAAACTTATGACAAGTTACTCATTAAAACATGTTCAATAACTAAAATCCATTTATAGAACAGGCACCCTACGTAGTTTTGGTAAAATTTTGCAAAATTTGTCAGTTTGACATTGACAACCCCAAAATGGGTGTAAATTAAAAAATATTCATGGAAAATAATGCCTTTAAAATGCCTTAAAGTTCCTAAATAGCTTTAAGTAAATGTAACCAAAATAGAGCTGTAAATAAATTACAGTCAAAGGAAAAATATCTGAAAATTCTACAAATAAGTAAATACGTTAGAAAACCAATACATTCTTTGGTTTATTCTAGGCATCTTCCCGCAACACGTCAATTCCAATTAGTCTCATTCTAACTCCTTCCAAGTATTTCTTCTAACCCACATCAAGTTCAAAGTTAAATCGAGAAATAATTTATTTAAGTCTCTACGTATTTTCTTTAACTTTTTGATTCAAATATAACACTGTACTGTTCTAATTCGTAGTACTCGGAATCTTGGTACAAGGTGCTTAATTTCATATTTCGAGCAATGTGTCTTTTTGTTAAAACAACAAATATTATAATAACATTATTTTCAATAACAGCAACTTAAAAAGAGAGTTTACAAAGATTTTTCCTACGCATATATGGGTTCGGATCTGTCTAAATCACCATAGCTGTTCGATAGATTTGGATGAAATTTCTTTGCCTAACAACCAGTTTCCTTCCGCTGGTTTTTAGCTTTGTTTTATTAATATAAGTCAAGAAGTGTCAAAGTATCAAGTCTTTTACAAAATTATGTAAGCCATTTTTGGGATACGATTATCTAATTAAATGTTTACGTGTCAGTACAATTGTTAAAGTCTATTAATGCGTAAGAACTTTGTTAAAGTTTATTCAAAATTAGTTATGTTTTATTAATCTGGTGTATGTTAATAAAATTATCTATGAATTAATAATCTTCGCCTTATCACTCCCGCACTAGAATATGTTCCACCTATTCGTGCGTGTTTCCAAAATATGTACATAATCTTGCATTAACTGATATGGCTTTTTTGATACATTAAGCCGGACATCGTTTTATCCAACTGTATTAATTTCGTTATTTTTATTTCTTAACATTATATAGTTTTTAAAATTGATGGTAAATTTCATGAAATGATAATGTAGCATATTATTTGAATAAATTTCAATTTCTCAATGAGAATACCTCGTGCATACTATGAGATTTTAATCAAAGTAAGATTAAAAACACAATTTCATTATAAAGTTATGGATTAATTTATCAATATCTCTATTATAAGAGAATTAAGTTTATTAATATAGGTAGTTTTATCCCATATATCATCCGAACAAAAGAAAACGAAACTACTCATAGTTTCGAAAGTTAATAAGTTATAAGGAAGCAAACCAACAGACACAAATAACCAAAAAAAACCTTGTTTTCTATTTACTTGTTAAGTAAATAGAAAAGAGATTTATCAGTACTATAACAATATTATTATATACATATAAATAGTAGAAGTTACTGACTTTTAAATGTAACATCACTATTTATAAAACAACACAAATAGGTTCGTTTCCATCAATATCTTAACCACCTTCCTTGCGGATTCACGACAAGACGGAAATTGTTGTCTATAAATAATTATAGATTGTCGGAATGAGATAGGGTAAAAGAGACTAATAAATAAATGGAAAAGTTTATTTATATAGAATATTCTCTAGATATCTATATATATATGTATATACAGGGTGACTGGTGAATTACTATCAATATTTAAGGAGAATACTCGGTACATGATTCTCATTCGAATTATGTAAAAAAAATAGGCACTTAATTTTTGACAAAATTTCCGTATAAATAAATAAAGTGTTGACACGTTCCAAGTGTTCCAAGTGTGAACGCGTCCGGCGGCGTGCTGATACAACACCACGCCGCCGCACGCGTATGTGTGAGTGTGTCTGTATACCTAATCTGTAGGGTGTTCACACGATGCGTAATTAATTACATAACTTTTGGTTAACTTTAGTTAGAAGTTTATTAATGTTTATGTTATATTAATTTTTATTTTGTCGTATATGATCGTCAAATTTCACGTCCTCAAGTATCGATAGTAATTCACCAGTCACCCTGTATATATAGATATGTACCTATATATATACATACACAATACATTTATTGTTTATAGGGTGTTTACACTCTCAAATAGCAATCAAGTTAAAAAGTATCACAATGTTAACTCTAGGGAAAATGTTTCTTAACTATCTTTAATTTTAATATTAATAATTAAAAAAATATTAACATCTTAAGGAGATCCATTAATACGCAAGGCCATAAAAATGGTCCACTAAGAAATCTATTTTCAATAGCTAGAAAAGATCACTCATTACTATTGTACTGGAAATTAAAATCGCTGAATGCTTAAAATGGCGCATGTAGTTTCACGACCTCCTGTTTCACATAAAGACTTGAACCACGTTTCGATTCAAGGACTAGTAATACCAGAATCCCTAAGGAAAATTTAAACTTTTCTTCCCAAGAAATTAGTTATCTAAAACGACTCTTCGTGGAAGGCAGCAACTACCGCAGCATATTAAAGCCGTTCACTCTTGTAATTAGACCGAAAAAAGGTTTGATATTGGTATTCCGTCCGTGGTGAAGTAAGATTTCGAAATTCCTTTAGGCTATAACGATTTGTTTGCAAAAATACAGGATTGTAAAATCGACCATATTGTGTTGTCTTCCATATTCCTTATGCTGGATAATGTGATGCGGACTAGGATTACCAGGAATTACAATAACACTCACATACGCTATGAAACTTCGACTCTATTATTAAAATTCTTTTTGAATATAATACTTTTTGTTATATCAGCCGAAGTTCAACAGTGAATAGCTTTATCCTTTACTCATGTCTTTGCTGGGCAGCATTTTGATAAACTCAAATTAGCTAAACACGAGTTCTCGTTACATGGTGGGTAGGTCATAGGTTAGCATTGCCCAAGCTTTTCAAAAGCCACCCCACATCAGAAAAGCCACTTTATTTTTTGAAAAGGGGAAAAAATGTGACAAAAATGTTGTATTTGGCTGTAAAAAATTGTAATAGTAAAATGTTCTACGAGACCCTTGACAAAATCAGGAAATATTCTGTCAACTTCAAAATTAAGAGCTTTGTTCCGGTAAAATATCCAAGAGAAAAACTGGACAAAACCTAAAGGAAATAGAAGATAAATATATTTATATACTTTGGTTATATGTGTTAATAAAATAAACATCCTAACAGATATATATTGATAAAATTTCAACACATTTTTAAATATGTTCTTGCAATTTTTTGGATGCTTGTGGAAAACGCAAAATGTAAAGAGATGAACTCATTTTTACTTTTATATCTCTTGATATTAATAGATTTCGACGTTTTAGTTAACACATCCCACAGAAATGTTGTTACCGATCGTCAGGTTCCGACAGAAACTAATGCCATTTATTAGTATCTGTTATCCTCTTCCCATTTCCCATAAACCGTAGCATTGACAGTGTATTCCACATATGGGTGATTCCACTTCGAACATCAATTATTTTCCCTAGTATTATCAATTTAAAAATAATTGATCATACACGTCTACACTCAAGTAAATATTTTTATCCTTATCAAACGTAGATATATATTTTTTATTGATATGTTGTATTAATTACAGTGAGCCGGATTATGTCCACGTCAATCTGATTAATAATCCTTGTTTTTGAGATATATCGTATCGTAAGCAGCTACTACAATATTATGTGCCAGTTTTTATGACTAAGGATAACTCGTTTGTAGCCTGATTACTCTCAAATATGTGATTTAAAACATTGGTTACAATTATACATAACTTTTTGTTAATTTTCTTCCATGGTAAAAACATATTGCCCTAAAACAAGATTTATAGTAAAATGAGTTCTTCCACATTAATTGGTATATTTGTCAGAAAAGTGAATATAAGTAACCATAAGTTTGATTTAATATGATAAACAAAATATTTCCTGTACTTACATAACTCTAAACAATTTAAATCTTAAATATTCTTAATTTCATAAATGGCATGTTAAATATCATGTAGAATTTTATTAAAATGCGGCAAAATAAATGCGGTAAAAGGAACAGTTCTTTCTATAAATATTATTTTTATCAAACTTACTTCGACGTATGTGCTGTAAAACATATTGTGGATTATCACTTTAAGTTCTTATTATAAAAAGTATATTTCATTAAGATTATTTTATAGCAAAAAGTAATTATAAACTAACCTTTACTATATTCAACCTCCGTCTTTTCTGTATTAAATTTCGTACATCTAAATTTGTAAAAACCCATTTGCAGCATAAAAAATACCATACAGGACACACTTTCTTAATTTCTCATAAATGAAATACAATTTACTAATATTTATTAATTGAAATAATAGGAAAAAATCCCCTTCATAAAGAAAATTAGCAAAAATTTTTGTAAGATAAAAACATTTGTTTTTCAAAACTACAAGAGAAATATTGTTTTAATGCTTAATGATAAAGGCTTCATGAAACTTATGTGTTCGATAATTTGTTATTTTAAGATATGATCATCTTCCTGACATTTCCCATGTCAAAAAAATCTCTGTAAGGTAATTATTAACGACTAGAAGACCTGGCGAACTTCGTATCGCCCTATAATCAAGAAATATCTGTTACGTTTTTTATTTATATTTTTGGAGTTTACCTGTAAGCCATAAATCTCTGTGTTTTGAAGTGCGACAGAATGATTGACATATTAGTTAGTTGTCAAATCTAATGTCAAAAAAAAACGTTTGTATGGAAAATAGAAAAGGGCTGTTTTTATGGTTTTCCCAGTAATGAATCAATTTTTTTCAGCTTTTATACCTTCCCTGAACCTCCACGAACATTTCAAGACTAAGATAAGATAAATCCGTTCAGCTGTTCTCGAGTTTTAGCGAGACTAAGGAACAGCAATCCATTTTTATATATATAGAAGATATTTCATTTTCATACATTATCAATCTTCTATTAAGAAAGAGCAGGAACAAGAAGCTATACGTTAGAAGCTTTAAGCAGGTCCTTATAAGTCAATATTATGTATTTATAAGTTTAAAGTAAATTTACAATACAACGACCAGTTAAAACCTGAGTAAGCTGTGAGAAAAGATGTAGTTTAGGAGATTCAGTGCGCGAAGATTGTCCTTAATATAACTGCAATATATATAAAATTAATATGTAGCTTAGATTACAAGTATATATAAATATATAGAATATTTTCTTTTTTTACCTAAAATTGCACTGAAATAAATAAAACAAACGTTGAGAGTTGAAAGCCTGGCGTCGTCGGGGCGGTCCTAACTGCCGGGATCACCCCCTTTCTCCGAGGGAGTAAGTCCGGTCTTTGCCAGGACCGGCCAGTCGCTGTCGCTGACAGATCCGGGGTGCACCGACATAGCTGCCGAGGGCTTTCGCAGTGGTTTTAGTGAGTAGGGGCCTGCCCAGGCCGAGCCTCACACATCCCTTCCGGCCCCACCAAGGCCGGTTGGACGGCTCGTAAAAAGAGTTTCCCCTGCGTCATCAAAAAAAAAAACGTTGAGAGTGACTGTGACACTATGTTTAAATTTAAGCCTGTTGGGTGCAGGGTGTCACCAATAACACACTTTTAATCTCTGTTAATCTTTATTTCATACACAGAAATGATTTTCTATACCTCATCTCTTCTTGGAGATATAAAAACAAATATGAATATAAAGTATAAATTATAACTCAATTTTTAAAAAAACCTTCCAACAACCGTAACGTCTATTACAAATTAAAACAGTTCGATGTATATGTTAAATAAATGTTTTATTTATTATTTACTTATATTAAAAGTATTCCAATAAAACAAAATTAACTTTGATGAATAAAATACTAAGTACCATGTGTACAATACTAAGTACTAAGTACCATACCATGTGAATAAAAAAATAAAAAAATATTTTAAGTCCAATACAATTTCAATAAGCTAATAAACTATGTATTGCAATTTTATACACAAAAGATAGTATGTTATAAATACAACTAATAGTAAACAGAGAGATTTCTAAACGTCTATGAGTAAGTATAGTATCACTGAATAAATTTAATATCCAATGTCTAAATATAATTTATATACAATATAATAAAATCATTTTCACTATCCAACGTTATGTAAATTTTAAGTAGTATATGCATATGTTTATAATTTTTATTTACGTATTGCTTCAATATTACATCTGTCAAATTGGCAATTTTAATTTTATCATCTGTGCGTTTTTATTTTATTAAATAGGTATTTTCCGTTGTCGGTTTGTACTTGCGTGACGTGACTTTATTTTACAAATAAATTTAGCACTTATAATTAAAAAATATCTGAGTTTAGCTTGAAGAACATTAACATTCAATATCAAGATGAGTGTCTGGCCAGAAGTAGCGACTGCAAAATCCGAAAACAGACATGAAATCAAATTGGCGGGTGCTGCTATATCTAAACGCATTTCGGAGGAAGGTTTAGACAAGACAGTCTTTAAATTAACAAATATTAATCTACTAAACATTAGCGATACATGTCTTCAATCTATTCCCGATGACATCAAATCACTCGTTAACCTCCAATCGCTATTGTTATACGGGAATAAGTTAACAGAATTTAACGAAAACATAACCTCTTTGAAGAAACTTAAGGTGCTCGATTTATCTAGAAATCAAATAACAAGCATTCCTGATAGTTTGAACAACATGAAAGAGCTATCCAGCATAAATTTTAGTTCAAATCAAATCGAACACATGCCAGCTTTTGGTGATTTTCCTAACTTAATCTCGATAGATCTATCCAATAATAAATTAACGGAATTTTTGAATACCGAACAGGCAAACCTGCCTCATTTAACGGATTTAAAGATTAAGGGAAACGAAATAGAAACACTTCCAGGTTATATAGCAAGCACCATGCCTTCATTAAAAAATTTCGACATTGGAGAAAATAAATTGAAGACACTCCCTGGAGAAATAGCTGGAATGGCAAAGTTAAAAGGTAAATAATGTCATATGACACATTCTAAAATATTGCATCATATTAAAAATATTAGGTAATCTTGACTTTAAAGTGTTAAAACTATCTTGCTTCTTATTAAATTATTTTTGTAGTGTTCATTTTACTTATATAAGAGGGTATTTACTAATAATTTGAAATAATTCTCTACATAAAATTAAAGTATGGAATACAAAATATAATTATATGAATATAATGTTGTTATTGTAAATATACATATTAATAGTTTAAAAATCAACTTATATGGATGACTTCCTCAGTTACAATCTTTCTAACAGAACATTATTTCATATGACTTAAAATAAAAAATGTTTTCAATTTAATCTACATTTATTTATTTATTCTTTATTGCACCCAATTCTAAAACTATAAAAATAACATTTTCATTACATATTAGTTGCATGAGGTGCAACAGGCATACATGTTCATTATATATGTCTATTTCTGAAATTCAACATAACATTTTACACTTACATAAAACCAATAAAGAACAAATAGATTGTTAAACAAATATTATGAGTTAATTTAGTTCTTACATTCAGAATGCATCTTTTTCAGAATTAAATCTAAAAGGTAACAAGCTTTCTGAAAAGCGTCTTATGAAGTTAGTAGACCAGTGTCGCACAAAACAAATTCTCGACTACATAAGAGAGCATTGTCCTACATCAGACAATAGCCAAGCATCAAGCAAAGGCAAAGGGAAGAAAGCCAAGAAACAAGATGAAATCCTACCAGACAATGCATCTGAACTCAGTCACACTATGAAAATTATGCACTTAGATGATGACACCTTGAAAATAAAAATTATCGAACAAGAAGTATGGAACATTAGACCCTATATACTGAGCTGTATAGTGTATGGTTTGAACTTTGATGAGGCGCTCTTCAAGAAATTCCTGCAGATGCAAAATAAATTACATGACACTGTGTGTGATAAACGGAATGTAGCAACGCTGGCTACGCATGACATGAGTAAAATACCACCAGGTATAATTTCTTTGAAATAGTACTTTAATTAATACAAAATTTATATTATCTCATTCTTTTGAACCTCTCTAAAGTCCTTAACACAATAATATACCAAAATTTGTTATACTCCTAATAACATTACTAAAGTGCCTGGTAGATTTTTGTACTATGAAACAAAACTTCATTGTATCATACTATAACTTTATAAATTTTTCTCAGGTGACCTTGTATACACAGCTAAAACACCATCGGAATTAAAACTGATCCCTTTGAATCGAACAAAACATTTTACGGGTGAGCAGTTGTTCCAGCAGTTGACAAACGAAGCAGATGCACTAAGGAAGGAAAAGAAAAGAAATGTTTATTCAGGAATACATAAGTAACAATTACTTTATAACTATTTAACAATGACACTAGCTTGGGATGAAAAATTTCTTTAAATTGTATTTTATTATGTATAAGTAGTTTATATTCTGATATTTGTAACATCATGACTACGAAACAACTCTATTGCAGACTATTTAGTGTTTTTAATTACTTAATTAAAAAGAAACCAAGCAATTATATACATAGTTGTTCTGTTTCTTCTTGATACCATTTTCTGTATGCTTGACAAAAAACACATACTGTTGTTTACAATAATTATTTATTTATATTGTATATTTCAGATACCTGTACTTACTTGAAGGCAAACCCAAATATCCATGCTTAGAAGATTCAACAAAGAGAGTGATCAGCTTTGCACCGATCACCAACTCTGAGGAAACTAAAGTAATAAAATTAGTTTACATACTTTATTTAATTCAATAAACCAATAAAATTGATAATAGACTTGTAAGAAAGTTCGCTAATATTATTTATGTGAGCTCTTTGTAATCATGAACAATATCCACAGATGACAGTCGACAGCAAATCAATGTTAGTCGAAGTGACATCACATTCATCGCTCGGTGCTTGCAAGACTGTCATGGATAAACTCCTGCAAGAGTGTCTGATGCTCGGCATTGGTGAAGGAGACGGTGACTTCCATACATTGACTGTGCAACAGGTGATAATTGTTTCACAACAACTACAATAACCTATATATTGTCGGGAATAATGCAAATCCCCGTAACTAGCATTGGATAATTCCACATATCTGCTTTGCAAGCAGATTATCAGAAGAAGGTTTCAACTGAAATATTTTCTAAGTTAATGACTTTTTTTCACAATTACTAATAAATTAAACACTAAATAGTTACAAATTGTGAAAAAATTACCTTAAAAGTCGATTATTTAGAAAATATTTTAGCTTAAACTTTCGTCTGAAAATCTTCCGATGCTGGTACGCGGTATTATCCAATGCTAGTTACGCGGATTTGCACTAACCCCGACAATATGTACTATTAATTTTATCATTAGCACATAAAATATCATACATTTATTCCTAATTAAGCTTCAAGTTGCTCAATCCTTTTTTGTGAAGCAGCAATGGAATCCATATCATATAATTGTAAAAAAAAATGTATATACATATTATTTTCAAATGTTTATACTTTTTTGTATAATTGCAAAACATGTCTGTTAAATTGAGTTGTAGGATTGTTTTAATACAAAAACTGTCTCACAATACTGGCAGTAATTTTTTTTTGTCTGTCTCACTTTATTGACATAAAAAACTTCTTCTTTGTATTGTGACTCAACTAGAGAGGTGATAACTTACTAAATGTTTCAGGTCAAGATTGTGGACCCTGAGGGTAACTTGAAGAGCATCTACCCATCAAGAACAGATTGTGTTTATGATAGCACCATCAAAGTTTACAGGATTCCTAAGAAATAAGGCCTTGTATTTTGTGTGATACTTTACATATAAACCATTATATTTTTTATTTGTTGTACTAGCATGTGTTTACTAATGATAATAACTCATTTCGTTGTTAAAATACATATTGTTGAAATAATTAAAACAGTATGAATGTCCATGATCTAAAAGACTGCTTATTTCATTTGGTTTTGCCAATAAAAACGATATTTTTGAATGGTATTTTTGTACTGCATAACTTTCTGTATGCTATAATGTGATAATGCTGACGGGCGTTTTGATAAGGTCACTTTATTATTGTATCTCATTTAAGGTTTTTAAATCATTTGTATAAAACAATATTTAATTTAGGTTTTCTGTGTTTTTTTTTTTAAGTTCTGTCATATAATGAAAGCTTCATAATTTCGATGTTATTATAAGTTAAATGTTACATATACACTTCACATAGCTGTAATATATTTAAACTAATATAATATTCATTTAGGTAACTACAAGAACTAAACTTAAAAATATTTATGCACAAAAACAAGTTATACTTCAAGTTTTTCCATAAGTATAATGTAGAGGAAGTCGGACAATAGTTATAATAATTATAAACAACAATTATTGTACCATTAGTATAAAAGTTGGAATAAAAAATAATAGTTACATTGTCATAGATATTAATATCTCTAGGAGTGGTAATGAATGATTCTAAAATAACAAATTGTGTTTTGTTAGTTACATTAGAAATGTTTATTGTGTCTGTTGGTTGTAAGCACATCTAAAAGTATTTTGTATTTTATTATACGTTTTGCCAAATAAACTAAACATCTCATGACCGAAATTTTATTGAAAATTCTTTAAGTTAAAGATCATTTTGATGACATTAAAACCTTTTTTATTTAATTTTTTCACGCTAATTTTCAAGGATATCTACGACACACAAATGCACTGTAGTATAAAAAAATATTTGAAACATTTGCATTTTCTAAAATCTCCTATTATTGTATTATCTTCTTGTTTTCTTTTCCTGTTAAAATCATTTTTTCAGTTAAAATACGTTTTTCTAAATTGCAGTTAATTACAAGCATTGTGAATATTGAGATTAAAAAAAATATTTTCATGCGAAATTTCATTTCATCGTGGATAAATTCGTAGTTTAGAAAGTTATAGTCATAGAAAAAGTAGATTTAATCTTCAAAAAACCAATAACTAGCTTGATTAAACTCCGATAGATCACTAACCGGTTATCAAACGTGTAGTTCTTGGTTTACGTGAAGCCACCACAGTTTAACTACTTTGTTGTAAGTAGTACTTACTTGGACCATATCATTTCATTATTATCAAGAAATTTCTTATTTTTAATTACTTTTTTTGTGATCTTATGATTACCATTTTTCTTAAATTACTTGTGAGATTTAAGAGAAAAAAAAGTTTCTTAATATAAATAGATTGAGTGTAATATAACAACAGTTTGTTAATAAATGGAATAAAAGTGAGTAACTAATTTAAATCTTAAAACTATAAAGGCTAGAATATAAAAAGAACAAAAACTAGAACTCCGACCTTTACTTGAATGAATTTTAAAAAAATGTAAATTCAGTTGACACTGACATATTTCCAAAATAATGTCAGTTTTTGCAAAGTGTAAACAAATTTAATAACTAAATGATTTATTAATTTGGAATATAAATGTCTCCAATAGTAAAAAAATAAACTTAGAAGTACAGCTTTGGTTATAAAGTTTAAAATGCGGCGCAGTTTGGCTCCTAGTCAAATGGGTTCCGGAGACACCGTCTTCAAGAGCCCATTAATAAATAAGAGTAATAGAAAAAAGAGGGAATGTAATGCAAGAATACCACTTGCGCAGAAACCTTTGTCTCAACTCTCCACATCTGACCACGAGAATCTTATTAAACAAATTTTAAGTAAACCATTTAAAGTTCCCCTTCCGAATTATGTATCATCGTATTGTAGCAAAAGTTTAGGTTTAAAGAGGACTCAAGTACGTCGGCCTTTGCATGACCCAGATGAGCCCAATGCACTTGTTTTATATCGTCCTCCATACATCCCTGAACATGAAAAAATGAAGATGAGTGCAAATGATATTAAAGTAGCAGTTGTTGTTGATCCGGTGCTTGGTAACATACTGAGACCACATCAAAGGGAGGGAGTCAAGTTTATGTACGACTGTGTAACTGGAGCTCAGATTGATAATGCATATGGATGTATCATGGCAGATGAAATGGGTTTAGGAAAGACATTGCAATGTATAACACTGTTATGGACTCTGTTACGACAGGGACCAGATTGCAAGCCTACTATATGCAAAGCTATAATTGTTTGCCCCAGTAGCTTAGTGAAGAATTGGTATAATGAAATAGGGAAGTGGCTTGGACAAAGGATTAATGCATTGCCTATGGATGGTGGTTCAAAAGCAGAAATTACTTTGAAGCTTCAACAATTTATGAACACTTTTGCGGCTATAAGAGTTGCCACACCAGTTCTCATTATATCATATGAAACATTTAGGATATATTCTAATATCCTACATTCATCAGAAGTTGGTTTAGTGTTATGTGATGAGGGTCATAGATTGAAGAACAGTGAGAATCAGACATACCAAGCACTTATGGGCTTAAAGGCTACGAGAAGAATTCTCATATCAGGAACCCCTATCCAGAATGATTTGACAGAGTATTTCAGCTTGGTACACTTTGTGAATAGTGGTATTCTTGGTACTGCTCAAGATTTTAAGAAGAGGTATGAGAATCCAATATTGAAAGGACAAGACGCATTAGCTACTCCACAAGAAAGGGAAAAAGCTCAGGAGTGTCTTCAAACACTGACATCAATAGTCAATAAATGTATGATACGAAGAACTAGTAGTCTGCTTACAAAATACTTACCGGTTAAGTTTGAACAAGTCATCTGTGTGAAAATGACACCTCTTCAAACACAGTTATACAGGAACTTCATTAATTCTGATGCTATTAAAAATAAGTTTGCTGGAACAGGGGACAAGAATACTTTGAGTGCCCTTTCAAGTATTACCATGTTGAAGAAATTGTGTAATCACCCAGATTTAGTCTACGATAAAATCATGGAAAGATCTGAAGGTTTTGAGAAAGGAAAAGACTTGTTACCAAGCAATTACGACATCAAGGACGTAAGGCCAGAGTATTCTGGAAAACTAATGATTTTGGATTGTATTTTGGCTAATTTAAAAACTAATACTGATGATAAAATTGTTCTTGTATCAAACTACACACAGACTCTCGATCTTTTTGAGAAATTGTGCCGTAAACGCTGTTATCAATACGTGCGTTTGGATGGCTCTATGACTATAAAGAAAAGAGCTAAAGTTGTAGAAAGCTTTAACAGTAAGGAGTCAAAGGAATGGATATTCATGTTAAGTTCGAAAGCTGGTGGCTGCGGATTGAATCTTATTGGCGCGAATCGACTTATTATGTTTGACCCAGATTGGAATCCCGCTAATGACGACCAGGCCATGGCAAGAGTATGGCGAGATGGTCAAAAGAAACCGTGCTACATCTACCGTTTGTTAGCTACAGGGACCATAGAAGAGAAGATATTTCAACGTCAAGCACATAAAAAAGCTCTTAGCGATACTGTCGTGGACCAAAATGAGGACTCCTTACGACACTTTACGTCTGATGATTTGAAAGACTTGTTCCGTTTAGAAGATAACACACTCTCAGATACTCACAGCAAATTTAAGTGTAAGAGATGTGTTAACAACATTCAAGTCACTTTGCCTCCTGAAAACTCGGACTGCACATCAGATCTATCTAACTGGTATCACTGTGCAGATAAAAAGAATTTAGCTGATCTAGTATTAAAACAGTGCTGGGATCTCGCTAAAAGTATTTCTTTCGTTTTCCACCATCGATCAGCACAAACAGAAGCAGAAATGGGCAAAGAAGAAAATAAGGAAAATGTTCAACAATGTAAAAGAAGAAAAATTAATATCGATGAAGATTACTCTGAACCTGATGACAGTGCTGATGAAGATTATCATTAAAATAAGAATTGTGATACAAAATAACCGAGTTCTGTTTAGTATTTTGTAAATAAGTTAAAAGTTGAAAATTATGTGCAAGTGCCTATTTACACTGTGAAATTATGTGAACTTAGCTTTAAATATTTTTTTTTATCAAATTAAATGATTATGCATCTACGTATTTTCTCTATAAGTAAAAAAAAAACAAATTGATCTGATACCCATTTAATGTTAATGTCAAACAAATAAAAATATTAACTGTTTAGTTTTTTTTTTAATCAATAACAAATAAATGCATTATATTCATATTATTCAATTCCCTAATCATTTTCTAACAAAAGTAATCAACGAATAATATCATTTTAAAACATTTTTCATTATTTTTTTAAGTATTACATACAAATTAATTAACAATCATAAATTTTTTTATTAAATAAAAGTATGAAAATCCTACTTCCTAAATAAACAAAATATATAAAAACAACCAAATTATATATTAATATTATAAATTTTTAAATTTCTTATCCTTAAAATAGATTTAATTTTAAGAGGGATAATTGTACATAGAAAAAATTAAAACTACCCTGAATAAAATACAGGTAAATTAAACATTTAGTTTCTTACATACTAATTAAGAACTTTTTTCAGTTAATTAACTGGAACAACTCAATTTGAGGCCAAAGGACCAGCTTGGTGGTTGTGATGAGTATCCCAATTTTTCAGCTTCTTCGTTCGCTATGAACGGATTAGTAAAGATTTCAAGTAACAATCTTACCTGAAACCAATTTATAGACATTCAAGTTATGTCATAATTTACAAAATGGAAAATAAAATGTTGATAATAAAGATTCATTAAAATTATATCAGACAGAAGTTTAAAATGTATGTTTGCAAATAAATAATTAACTATTTTTATATCACTCACCTTGTGGTAATCATTATCCTCTGCATCTTTAATAGCCTCCTGTAAGATCCAGTTCCGGGGGACGTATAGTGGATTTACTTTGAGCATATGTTTCACTCTCTCATCTTCGTTCACTGAAATATTTCATGTAAAAAACTTGTATATACAGGGTGACTGGTGAATTACTATCAATATTTAAGGAGCATAGTCGGTACACGATTCTCCTTCGAATTATGTAAAAAAAATAGGTACTTAATTTTTGACCAAATTTCCGTATAAATAAATAAAGTGTGGACACGTTCCAAGTGTTCCAAGTGTGGACGCGTGCGGCGGCGTGCTGATACAACAACACGCCGCCGCGCGCGAGTGTGTGTGTGTGTGTATACCTAATCTGTAGGGTGTTCACACGATGCGTAATTAATTACATAACTTTTGGTTAACTTTACTTAGAAGTTTATTAATATTTATGTTATATTAATTTTTATTTTGTCATATATGATCGTCAAATATCACGTCCTCAAATATCCATAGTAATTCACCAGTCACCCTGTATAACGTCTCAGTTTGAAGTTATTATTTATAAGAATAGTAATTTTTTTTTATAATTTAAATTTTAAATAGCGATCCATCATACATATCAAAGAAATATTACCATTTTCTTGACAACATCTATCCTTGTATCGCTGAACCCACTTCTCCCAATCCTTGGATTTACTCAGCCTTGCTAAAGACCACTTGGATTCAAGCGTTTCCTTATCTAGTAGCTGATTCAAATTAATCTGATGGAAAAACATGTATGAAATTGAAAAAAAACTTTTTCAAATCGTTGCTTGCAAATGTATTGTATAAAAACTCCAAGGTTTAAGTTCTTATTAAGTAAATTCGACATTGATAGTTAAATATTCTATTATTATTCTTAGTCACTAGAATAAAATAATGAGTAGATAAAATCTGAGTAACAATGAATTTAACTATGATTGGTGTCTTTACTCCAAGTCCGCAATTCCGCTATAATCTAACAATAATGCAGATTCAACATCAGATTACCAAAACACATTGACACAAATCTCTACAAATGAAACGATCTTATAGTAATACCCTAAACTTAGTTGTGTTTTATTGTCAACATGTTTAGAAAATATTTTATATAAAAAGTACAGTTTTATTGTTTTTATAAGTATATTGTTTTGAAAACAAAAAAATATTAATAATGTTTTTTGACATAACTACAGTAAAGACGAGTGGAATTCAAAAAGCAAAAGAAAGTATAGTGAATACAGAAGTTTAATTAGAAGGTGCAGAAAACAAATTCTTTAAATAGAACTTTTTGTAACTATATGTGATGTACTGGACAAATGAGAGGACTTTTGTAAATGAATGTTATAATTATAGAGGAAGAGACAGTATAATGTGTACTGTAATTTATTGTATTTTTATTGATATAAATAAATAAGCTAGGCCCCTCAAAACTAGTGTAGTGACTCATCAATTAATAAATGTTAGTTCTAAAAAACTAACTTCATTATAATATAAAATAAACATGTCATATGATGTGGAAATAAAAAAAATAATCTAGAACTTTTTGAAGACATTCGACATTTGAGAAAACATTTTGTAGATATAATGTGGTTTATTTCACATAGGTACCAATGGTAAACATTCTTTACGATAAATAATGTAAATAAAAGGAAATAGATTTTTAGAAATGTGGCTGAGTTAAAGCCAAAGTTATGAGATAAAGTTATCTTACCTCAGAAATTTGTCTAAAACTGCCAGTGAAATCAGATGAAGTTTGTTGCATCATCTCAAGGAAATCCTTCACCAATGCATCATCACCTTCTCTTACTTCAGTGAGACCCAGTTTTCGAATATAAGTATGACTGAAAATATTACATCATAATATAACATCCTAGATAAAGACAAGTTTATTGTGCAAATTTTGTGATATCTCATTTTCATATGTACATTATAAAATATGAAAATGGACATTCATGTTCATAACTTACAGTATTTTATCCTTAACATACGGTTGTAAAGTTTCAATAACATCTTTAATTTTCTTTTTACTCTCATCACAAAGAATTAATTGTAATGCTTCTGCAAATTTTCCCAAGTTCCACAGCAAGATCTGAAAAAGCAGTTTATAAATGAAAATTGATACACATATATAAATTAAATATTAACATAATAATAATTATGTTAACCTCTGGTTGTTTGTTGAATGCATATCTTCCCATATCATCGGATGTGTTTGGGACATAGTTCTCATAATAGTGTTCTATAAACCCAAACGGCCCGTAGTCAATGGTCAGGCCCAATATACTTATATTGTCTGTGTTTAGAACCCCATGAGTGAAGCCCAGCCCTGAAATAAAATACTGTTAATTTTCTTTCATTAGATACTAACACTAAGGTTTAGTGTTATTTTAACTGAGATTTATAACCAATTAGAATGTTAATAACCTTGCCAGGTGGCAACCATGTCCAGGTTCTTGTGAGCCACCTCTGTGAAAAACTTCACATATTTGTCTTTATCATTAAGATCAATGTGGCTGAAGAAATGCTGAAAATAATCATAGAATTGTGTTACAATAAAAAAAAAAAGATTCATTCTTTCACCATGTATATAACAGAAACCTTTTATATAGTAATGATTAAAAACTGTTAGTATATAAGTAAAAAAATTAAGACAGTATATATAATGGAGTCTTTCTACATTTGAACATCTGCATCATGTTATGTTTGATAACAAATGTAAGATTCCAGAAAACTGTTAATTTTTGTTATTCTTGAGGTTTTTACACTACCTTAAACCTTTACATTTTTTCCGAGAATAGTTAAAGGACTACTCAGATAAAGGCTTTAAAAAGTCACAATACCTTTATTACATGATCAGCTAGTTGAAGCAGCATGTCTGTCTGTTGCCTTCGGTGCATTAACTCGAAGCTTCCAATCCTCATCCAACTAGGTGCCAGTCGGAGAACCACGGCCGCGCGCTCGGGACGGTTCAGACCACAGTAACTCTTGTCTCGCATCACCATGTGGGAATCACTGGCTGGAATATACAGGGTATAAACTTTTAAGTAAAGTTAACCAAAAGTTATGTAATTAATTACGCATCGTGTGAACACCCTACAGATTAGGTATACACACACACACACACACACTCGCGCGCGGCGGCGTGGTGTTGTATCAGCACGCCGCCGCACGCGTCCACACTTGGAACGTGTCCACACTTTATTTATTTATACGGAAATTTGATCAAAAATTAAGTACCTATTTTTTTTACATAATTCGAATGAGAATCATGTACCGAGTATTCTCCTTAAATATTGATAGTAATTCACCAGTCACCCTGTATATATATATATATATAACCAAATATATTTGATAAAAAGAAATTCAAATGCTTTTTCTTTTAAGTCAACAGGAAGGTCCAATTTATGTATATTTTATTTTACTATACCCAACATCGATAAACATCTTTTACAGATATAAATAAAAAGATTTTAATATAATTCTTACCAACCAGTGCTGCGGCTCTGGTGGTGGGAATGCCAAGGTGGTGGCATGCCTCGCTGGCGACCATCTCACGCAGTGAGGATCGGAGTACTGCACGACCATCACCAAAACGAGAAAAAGGAGTCTCGCCAGAACCCTTTAACTGCAACTGCCATAACTCCCCTTTACTGAAAAATAATTCAAGATTTTATTTTTAGATATGGATCATAACTTTTACACTATAAAACATACAAGTTATTACCTATTAACATATTCACCAAGAATATGTGCCCTGCCATCTCCAAGCTGGTCAGCCCAAAAACCAAATTGATACCCACCATATCTAGAAACAATTATTTTATTAACTCAGTTTATATGTACAAACAGTATTATCTTCTGTTTTAAAAATGATTGGCTTACTAAAATTTTGTAATACTATGAGCCTAATCAGAAGTATTAGGCATTAAAAAAGAAATAAATTCAATTTTACCCATGACATACACTCAGAGCACCTTGAGGTAAATATTTGCCATTTATGAATTCAACAAATTCTTCACTTGCTGCTGCTACAGGATCAAGATCAAGAATGTTAGTCAATGCATCATTGGACACACATACAAGATCAATTTTTCCAGTAAGGGGCTCTGTTGGTACCTGTCCATAAAAGTTATAACTCAAAATATTGCATCATTTCCTATGGCTGTTTCCTCCTCAAATAAAAAAATGTTTCTTTATGCAAAGGATAACAATCTATGCCGATTCATACTTACTTTAACAAAAACAGCATCTTTGACGGCTCGAGGCATATTGTATTCAGGGTATTCGGTAATAGGCAATTGAACATAGCTTGGTGGTTGTCGAAACATCCATTCCTTGAAATCACTTATTGGTTTGGCCATATTTGATGTTATTAACTTCCTATTATATAAAAGACAACTCGAGGCACAAATTATGCGTCTCATTTACTTGATACAATAGGATATTATCATAGTACATAGTACATGTGGCAAGTAATAAACTAAATCATGACTCGCTAAAATCTAATCGAAGATTTATATTCACAATATTTTTTTTGGTATTTGTGTAGGAAACGCAAATATTTAACGTTTACTTGATAACAAGTAGCTAAATAGTATATGACGCTATACGTCAATGTCAAGTGAACAGCTGATCAGACATTAAAATCTATGTAGGTACTTAACTATCAGAAATTAAGATCTGAATATAATAATTAAACATATATGTATATTGTCAACATCAAAAAATACACAATTTAATAACTATACAACTATATTTATAACTTTAAAAAATATAACTTCTGACAATATAGGTACTAACTTTATAAAGAACAAAAATTATATATTGTTATGCAATATTTTATTATTTTAGTAGTTTTAATAGTCGAAAAACCACGCATTTCACTATATTTGTGTTTTTATAACCTTTTTTTTCGAATATGAAATATTTTTATTAGTTTTGTATATAACTACTAAAGTTATGTGTGTGTAAAATACCTAAAAACTATATTTGAATGAAAAAAAACAATGTTCAAGTCAAACTGTTTATTTAGATGACCACCACTAAAGTTATTATAATAAAATGCCAGTACAGATATACACTACATTATACTGAATACATGAATAGCTTGGGATATGCAAATTATCTATCCACTTCGCTGTTGAGTTGTTCAAACTGTGGAAAGTTTTCGAGTACTCTCAAGATAGACCGACAATAATCTCTCTCTTCAATGAAACATTCATCAAGCTCTGGATTCTTGAGATGTTCCTTAAGAATGTTATCAAGATTTAAGCCTGGATCTCTGCATAGTTTGATTACTTTGGGGTCCACATCTTGTACCAAAGTGTCCAAAATACTCAGGAGATGTTCGGATGTATCATCTCTGCCTTCTTTGAGGAGATCTGCTATTATCTTGACAATGTTTTGTTGGACGAATTTATCTAGAAAGAGATATAATGCTCAATCATTATTCACATTACATACATTCATGTTAAATAAATATTAGTATAATAAAAGAAATTATTAAAGATATTTAAACAAGTCAGGAATAAAATTTAAATAATATTAAATATGAATATAAATTCAATAGAATACAAACCTTTAGCATCCACATAACTGTTACACAGGTATCTTATCAGGAATGCAGCTCTAGTCCTGGCTGAGATATCAGGACCCTGAAGGGTGTTGGCGAGCAATTCACAGCCTCCCTGTGCCGTCAACTCCTGCAGTGATGGCTTGAAGTCGCGAACCATGGCTAAGGTTTAAAAAAATGAAAACTGTTAAACAATGATTGTATGTATAATTGATATGTATTAGGCATAAAGGTTGATTGTCACTTAACCTTTACAAATTTTATTTACAGCTTACGAAATTTTTAATATTATAAGTGTTGCTATAGCGTCTATGGAAAAAGTCTTATAAACAAACCAAATAATCTGTCTATATAATATCAGGATGTATATTAAAATTTTGCTACATATCTTACATGAAATGGCCGAGATACACTTAGCGAGTGCCATTCCCTTCTCGCTTGGGGCTAAATGCAACATCACATTGAATAATCCACACTCCAATGCTCGAGACTGACAGAACGGGTTGTTCTGGCACAGCTCGGCTAGTATTGAACTGGCCCGGGACCTGATTTTATCATTCTCACATCCGAGACAGATCGGTAATATAGAAAAGCCACCAAGCTTGTAAAAATCTGAAACAATAGATATTTTAAATAAGATCAGCTTCCCAATATTAATAATATGTAAAATATGTAATAAATATTCTGCCAGTAATTATAATGTAAAGAATAATCATCAATGCAAATTAAATTCCCTTCCATACTTTGAGTCAGTGTTGGTATAATATATTACAATTAATGAAAGTTACTCCAGCTTGTATAATTGATTGTTGTAGGACTTTATTCAGAATGCTTAATAGTGAAATACATCTTCTGTCTATACAGGGTGACTGGTGAATTACTATCAATATTTAAGGAGCATACTCGGTACATGATTCTCATTCGAATTATGTAAAAAAATAGGCACTTAATTTTTGACCAAATTTCCGTATAAATAAATAAAGTGTGTACACGTTCCAAGTGTTCCTAGTGTGGACGCGTGCGGCGGCGTGCTGATACAACAACACGCCGCCGCGCGCGTATGTGTGAGTGTGTAGTGTAGAGTAATCTGTAGGGTGTTCATACGATGCGTAATTAATTACACAACTTTTGGTTAACTTTACTTAGAAGTTTATTAATATTTATGTTATATTAATTTTTATTTCGTCATATATGATCATCAAATATCACGTCCTCAAATATCGATAGTAATTCACCAGTCACCCTGTATATAAAAATGAATTGCTGTTCGTTAGTCTCATTAAAACTCGAGAATGGCGAAACGGATTTATCTTATCTTAATCTTGAAATGTTTGTAGAGGTTCAGGAAAGGTTTAAAAGCTGAAAAAAATTGGTGCTTTTCCGGAAAAACCCTAAAAACACCCCTTTCCTATTTCCCATACCAAACCTTTTTTTTGACATTAGATTTGACAACTAACTAATATGTCAATCATTCTGTCGCACTTCAGAACACTGAGATTTATGTCTTAAAAATAAACTCCAAAAAAATAAATAAAAAAAGTAATTATTTATCGAGTGAGGCAGTACCAAGTCTGCCGGGTCAGCTAGTATTTTTATAAAATCTTTTTGAAGTAAGAGAAAAATACAATAGTCATAAGATTTTTTTTACTGCTATCTTCTTTTATATTAAAAGAGCTCTGTCTAGTGTAGACCCTTCCTTCACTTAATATCATGCATGAAATAAAAAGATACACAAATTTGGGGCCGCTTGTTTAGGAGCTCTGTGAAATGCCAGCAAGCCAAGTCTTGTGGATATCAGAGAATAGAAATTTGTCAGCAGCTGTGTATAAATAGCACCTTGTATCAACCACTGCAATTCCCACTGTGATTACTATAACAAGTCTACCTGAATCACAGTGCTAGAGTACAACATATTAAGTCGCCATAGGATTTTTCATAAGTTTTGAAAAATAAAAAAAGTAAAAATGTCTCTATTCATAATGACTACCAAATCTCCCTGAAAATTCATGTGATCCTTTGATGCAGCAAAGGTGGGTTTGCATCAAGTGAGACACTACTGTTTCTCTGGGCACCAATACCAAGAAAAATTGTGAATGATGTTGACACCTTGTCTTTCATCTTAACTTCACTACCATCTTATTAAACATAAGTTTTGATACTTCAGTCTCTCAAAACCAGTAGGAAACCCAATCTGCTAGATCAGGGCATGCTTCCCAATCTTCAACTAGTTAGAAATCTGACCCTTTACAAGGAAAGCCTGTACAAAATAAAGCCTGAAGAATCTTTAAATCAAATTTTGTAAGACCTTGAATGACTAATCACACCCAGCATCATAGCCATATGTGTACATAGGATTATATCATTTAAGATGCTACTTCCCCTGATTTCAATCTGAACGCATAGAAAATTGACCACTCAATATTATAAAGATAAGTATCCAGTTCCAAATTTAAAGAAACTCAGGTAATATAATGTCATCTGATACATACCATTGGCTGTATCAATATTATCAACAAGTTCGAGGATGTTAGAGAAGGCAATATCCACATCCTCCGGCAGCTCCTGGCCCAGCTGGATACTTTGGATCCTCTCAGAATCACTCAAAATCTTAATGCTCTTTTGTAACACCTCTGCCACATCTATAGTAAGACTCTTGAGGGCTTCCTCCAAAAACTTACGTCTCTAAAGATTGAGTATTGAATTGTAAAATTATGAGAAAACTAAATGACTTTAAATTAAAAATAAAAATTTATTTACCTCTTCATCCATCGGCCCTAGCTCTGAATTTCCAGGGGCATCTTCAGCCTTGGTAGCTTCCATAGCAAAGCGGAGAAGTCCCTTTATATTAAAAACAATTATAATTCATTAAAATTTAAAATTTTTATTGTAAACAAATTAACAAAAGCATAATCCTCTGGAGGCGATTTATATCATTATCAATATGATGTCATATAATTAATTTATACAAATATTTTTCTACGCAGGGATTTATTAATTCGTTGAATAAATGAATTTAGTATTTCCTTTTGTACCTGTAAATTTTTAGGTTGCCGAGGCTGCACCGGCTCTGCACCGTCGTTTTCTACGTTCATAGCGCCCACAACTTGATTATTAGGATTACTTGAAGCCATTTTCGCTTAAGAAATAAGAATTACTCAAGACCGTTATTTAAATATCAAAGCAAGAGAACTCTATCGATCTTATTTCTCAGCGCATGTAGAGTTTTAACTTGTAACATAGACCTGATAGACCACAGTAAACACGACTAGCAATAATCGATAAACCCTTAACTGATATCGATATTATATCACAATTACACATCGATTTAAGTCGATTAACATCCTATAAGTTAATTTCGTAAAGTAACAGTTTAATAATTAATATCGGATAAATTATTATCGATATGCTTTCAGTTTAAAGCTTGTAAACCATCTAACGTTTGTGATAGTAATCCAAAAAAAAAACCCTATGTTTGTCCAACTTGAAACAGATCAATGATATTAAATACAACATGTCTGGCAATACAAAACTATGGTTACTTATAACGATTATGTTGAATAAATAATTTCCAAAACATAGTTGAATTAGTTTCCACACCTTAATTTATTTTCTTTTTTTAAACAGGGTTACAATTTATTTTAGTATGTTTTTGACAAACATCGACTTTACAATCTCTTCAAGAGAAATGACCTTACAAATCGATTTTTGGCAAGTAAATATTTATCTATGGTTGATAACTTGACACATTATTCATATATTATTTGCTTATTTTTGACAAAGAAGATTTTTTCTAAGGAAAGATGGATTAAATAATTCACTTAACACTTAAAACTCGCTTTTCATTTCATGGATTCCAAATAGAGTATTTTTCGAATCTGTTAGGGTTTAAATAAATATTGAGAAGGTTATAACTAAATAACAATGAAATAGTAATTCTTAAATAAATTGATCTTTCTGGAACAATACAAATTATATCGTCTTATAAAAAGACGTTATGCATATGAAAAAATTAATCCTAAGGCATACAAACTGAACTGAAATCCTTACAACTTTTATGCTACAAAATAAACTGATCAAAGAACAATTTTTAATCCATTAACTAAAATATGATTTAATTCTGCTCTAGAGTTTAAAATATTGAATTGTGTGTTACATACAAAACCTTTTCATGATAAAATTATTATAGTAATATATTAATTTTAAATGAAAATTTTTAATTACTTCATTGTGAATGTTGACAAGTTAAATGACTGATGGGAATGTGGTTTTTGTTCAGATATGAATTACTGGAAATTCATTTAATAAATGTATAACATTAAACAACTTTGGTATCTAATAAGACAATGGATGGTAAAAGTAATGTTTTAAATCTCAATTTTCAGGGGCTTTGGATAAATAAATCGTTATTGACCAAAGTTTTTTTTAATTAATTAAAATACATAGTAGGTTTAAATTGTAGGATCAAGATATTCCTTTTATTTGTAATCTATCATAATAACAATATTAGTTCTTAAAATGTTTAAAATTTAATATGTAATATAAGCATTAATCGGATTTTATTTTCGTAGCTTTTCTCCTGAAATATAATTCCAATATCAAATATTAAACGACAGTAAATATTTTCATGCTTTATATAATATAATTCAAATTTGATCCAAAACTCATTTCATTCATTCTAATTATAATAAATAATTGGGCGTTTATCGAAATATTTGATTTTAGAAAATTAATCTTCTATATATATAAAAATGGATTGCTGTTCCTTAGTCTCGCTAAAACTCGAGAACAGCTGAACGGATATATCTTATATTAGTCTTGAAATGTTCGTGGAGGTTCAGGGAAGGTATAAAAGCTGAAAAAAATTGATTCATTACTGGGAAAACCATAAAAACAGCCCTTTTCTATTTCCCATACAAACGTTTTCTTTGACATTAGATTTGACAATTAACTAATATGTCAATCATTCTGTTCGATTGAAGCAGGAGAAACCTGATTATTAATGGCCTCTAAAACGGAATAGAGTTCGTCCGGTCAGCTATACATATCTTACTAATGACGAAACGAACGCGGACGAAGTCGCGGGCAAAAACTAGTATGTTATATAATTATGAATAATAGGAAATAATATGAATTATCTGCTTCATTAATAATGTACTCAGTGTGAATTGATTGGAAATTATGCCATGTTTGTCATATATAATTTACGTTATAATAGTTCCGTTTTAATATATTTTTCTCTACGTAATACGTCTTCTAAGAGGTAGCTCTATTTTCCGTCAATGTAATATGGAAAGAGTTCTCTGACAATTTAATCTAAATGATAACACCTGATAAGGTATCGTATGATAAACTTGCTCCAGCCTTCTAACATGTTTTTGTTTTGAGATCTACAAGAAAGCGTAACTATTCTAAGAATATTTAAAGAAATATTGTAAAAACTAAGAGAGGATTCATATATTTATATAAAATTGTCGACGTCAAGGAACACATTGGTAAGTTGTATCGAAAAATTAAGTAATTAAGTATAAGTCAGAATGTTTAGGTAGGTATATCTTTAGGAAAAATATCAACGTGTTATGAGAGTGGTTTGTTAATAATCTTATATTATTAAACGGAATCCATATGTTCGTGACAGTTACATTTGTCGATATTTTTATTCGTATCCTTTACCTTTTTATGAAAAAAAAAAAATTGACCAAATGTCATAAATTTATAAAATAAATTTGAAACCATGTTTGCTTTATATCTTTTGGCTGCTGTTTCTAAACAGAGTAATGTCGTCATTTTCAGAAGAAGATTGAGTAATGGTTATATTGTGTTTTTTTATCAACTGTCGACTTAACAACTAACGTCTCTCCAACTCATATTTTAAAATTAATCAAAACATTGGAAGTGCATTATACAAAATAATATCTTTATTGTGTTAATGTTTAATTTTAATGTATTATTTTAATAAAAATCCTTGTTGATGATAATATTCACTTGTTGGCGAATTTGTCATGTATTTTGAGTTAATTTTACAGTTTAGATCGAGCTTTTATTGATTTTTGAAGATATATTAATTTAAGCGGGTGTTTTATTTCCAGTGTAATCCTTATCAAGGCTGTGATCTATTCTATATGAATACTTCAGTTTAACTCTCATACACAGATACATCTTCTATCTCCTTGGAGCGACCTTATCAAGGTTTTTCGTTTTATCTCTGCGATTCTAATTAAAAAAATCTTTGTTTAAATCATTACTTGTGTTCATATTTGTTGTATTGTGCTAAGCGAATCGTTTTAAGTTGATTTCAAAGTTTAGTCTGGTGCATAAAGAAAAAATCTTATATTTTTTTTTATTTTAAGCTGTGGCTTACATTGGAATCATAGAATATTTTGCTAATGTCATTACATCAAATTATGTGTTGATTTAAGACAACATGTATAACGAAATAAAAATAACATACTATATGACATAATATGTCATAGTCATAACTACGTTTCAACTCTAAATGACGTTACCATGTCCAAATTATACATACATTTGATGCCTTTATATAACCTAAAATGAATATCATAAATAAAATGTAGTTGGAAAATTGATATTCGTTTCACATACATCGAAAATAAACAGAATATTTAATAAATGTTTTTCTCTCCATTAAGCTTGTATTTTTCAGAAACATTTTGGCAGCTTCATTTATAAATATAAACGGATTTTGTATTTGTAAATAAGTGGAAATATATAAATTTTTAATGGGTATTTAATTTCTGCGAAATGTTATGTCGAAAATGTTTGTATTACCTTTAACGTTATCATTAAATGGCGCAGCGAGTACGGCTTCCAAACAAAATCAATATTCGACATCAAACAGAATATTATTAATTGCATATCATAGACTATCTCCACAGATGTGAATAATGACTCGTGTTGTATTCCACCTATTATATGGTAAAACTTTTTTCATAAAATAGATAATATGTTTCTTTTATAAATAAATAACTCTAATTCGATTCAAGATTTTAAAATCGTGAACATCAGAACATTGCATACATACATGATTGTCAAATACTATATTAATATAGTGCGTTCGTTAACACGTTAATTGCTTATAATAATTTCGTAGTGTATATTATAACAAGTGTGTTATATGTTCCAGAGATGCCGCCTCGTCAGGACCTCGTGGTGCAGGTGGAGCGCGTGCAGGTGCAGGGCTCCCGGCCTCCGCCACCCCCCGCGCCGGGTCGATTGCAGCGCCCCCCCCACGATCATCCCAACAACTACATAGATCGATCTAACGCCCGTCAAACTAACAACAACACGCGTAGGACGTAGACTATATTATTACATTTATTATAAATAGGAATTATTTGAATTTGTCTTCGATGACATATTTTATTTTAAAAGTATTTATAATCTGTTATTTAATAGATGACATTTGATGATGAATGTTATTTGTGTCAGTTAATAAAATTTATAAAAAAAAATAATGTTAGCATTATTGAAACGACTCTTTAATATATACATATTTTATAAGCTCTTTTGGCAATCAACTAATAGTAGACACGTCGGAGTTTTAATATGTTGACATTTTAACGTTATTATTTTACTCCGTAATTAATTTGTATACACTATGTACTGCTATCCGATATTACTTGAAGTGTAAATAATATTTTTCCAAGTTATAAGTTTTGAGTTGAACTTATAACTTCAACTCCAAAGTTATCTTAAAGTCCTAAAGGTGCTCTATTCATTTCTATTTATTAATTATATATAAGCTCTATCATTGTTCTGTATTTTATATTATTAATAATTTAAAATACATTTTAATATAACATGGAGCATAATACTCTAGATTTAACACTGTGCTTCATTTTGTTTACTCAAAATGGCGCTTGTATAACGAAGTGCTTATGTGGTATTCTGCTCAAAACTCGACTATAATTTCTCTAAGAAATAATTTATAAATTTGATGATAAATATTATAATAAAATCTTTATTTAAATAAACTGACGTCATTTTGTGAGCAGTTGACAAATAATAACGATAATTTCAGTTTATAATTTAATATAATAGGATATATATTTTTTATATTATTATTAAAAACTTAGCCATACAGTTGATTATAATTGTTGTGACAAATAGTAAC